AGTTTTCTTGCCACTTGAGACTTAAATGTAAATCTATTGAAATGTTTCGGTTCTAGGAAACCAGGTAAGAACTAAAATAAAGTCTGCCTTTTGGCGTCAATGCGGTCATAAGTAGATCGGTATAAAATCAGGTACCTACTAAATAGCTATTAGTCGTTGTTCAAAGTCAAAGTCAAAGCATTTATTTCAATTAAACCATAATTTGGTACTTTTGAAACGTTAACAAATACAAAATGAATAATAGTCTGTCAGTCAGTCCGTCAGTGAAGCTAGGTGAAGCTAGATGCTCATTCCAAAATGTAGATTCGAATGAAGGAGAACTAGCAAGAAACTCCATTCGTTACTCTTTTAAAAAAAAAAGTATGTTCTACAATGTCTCTGATACATATTTCAATACTGTTAAGCACATTGTAAACTTTTGTCTTCCCCTTTGTAGTACCTACTTATAAAATAAATATGAATGAAGTAGGTAGGGACCAACTAGGCAACTAGGTATCTACTTATTGGAAATCGTACTCCTGTTTTATTTTAGACGCAGCTGGTCCTTTTGTCCGAGCAGGTTTTAAGTTCAATGATCTTCGAAATGGCTAAACCGTTTATCATGAAACTTCAAATTAGGAAAAGATTTATGAAGTTAACATCTTTAATTAAATTTTAAGAACATGAGGTCCTCTAAAGTCATAAACAAGGGTCTTTGCGAAAATTAAATTCAACAACATACGACGTCACATCGTTCAAAATGAACCGTTTCTCAAACGTTGACAATATTTCACGCGACGCGTTGACCACAAAATGGCGGCTAGGCAAAGATGGCTGACGAGCCTTGACGTGACACGACACGCATATATTGGATTTCTGTTGTCAGTCTGTCATTTATTGAATTACGGAACGTCTCCCCGGCTTCTGCTTTGTTGTGCTCGAATAATATTAAACTTATTCATCTCTGTACGTCAATTTTTTAGCTTCATGATATTATTGAAGGGTTTATGTGGTTTTTTCGTTGTATATTCCGTGTTGCTTTTTAGATAGGGTTCGTTCTAAATTGAAATGAAACTCAATATTTGGATGGATTTGGAATGCGTTCTTTTGTCGGAAATAGCTTCACTTTTAATTTTATGGTTAACGGTCAAAAGTGCCTTTCTGGTCTAATTGAAATAAATGATTTTGATTTTGACTTTGACTTTGACTTTGAAATCGTCAGGCATGCTAAACGAATCTACGGTGTAGTCTCATGCTCTTGTAAGGGCAATTTTATTCATCGTCTGTCTTTAATTTATGCAGTAGTTATTCTGTAGTACTTAGACATATTCAAAATTAAACAATATAGTCGGTAATTAAAAACATTGTACTGGAGGCCAATAGGAGTAAGTAACTCTGATCCTCAATCACAAAAATGTGCGTACCTAATGTATGTACCTACCTAAGTACCTATACCAGAACATCACTCCGGTAGGTAAAGAGGTACTTTTGTACCCGCCTACACCCACTTTCCAGTAGACGTATAATTAATCCCATTGTAATAGGGGCGGACGGGTTTCTAAAGGTTCTCGCGCAATTCAAAACTCAACAATATTGTCTTCAAAATAAAAAAATCAGGCACAAAAAGTATTTATATCGTAGGTGGGCATGCGATTATATAGGTCACCTGGTGGGAAGCTATCAGCTCCGCATATGAACATACGCAACATTAGAGAAGTTGCAATTAAAGATATAAGGTTTCTTATAAATATTATCATATCTGATTTCTTACAAATATTTCCATCCAAAGGTTGTTTGGAAGAAATTACCATTGTGTGATAAGACCGCCCATTGTACGCATATTTACTTGAATTGTTTGTTTTTAAGCTACTTAAATGTGTACAATAAAGCTTATATAAATAATTAAAATAAATAAATAAATAACTGAGAGTGATCCAGAGGAATAATTAAGACCTTGAGTACCTACTCACTCACACGGCGAAACAAAATGCAAGCGTTGCACGCCAGTTTGCAGCAGGTACGCTTGTAGTATCACTCCGGGCTCCGGTCAAGCAGGCTAATATTTGGTCGGATAATTAGAGATCTGTCGATCATAATTACACAGATTATGAATAATTCTAATATAGTGTATTCTTCATTAACTTAAACCCAAGTCTCACATACAAAATCACATAATACCTACTACATACGGAAATCGATTCGCGAGTCGCGACACCCAGTCTTGAGTCTTCCCAAAATCTTACTGTTCCAAAGTGGATGATGAAATATTTGCGCCATATAACACTGTCGTTTCAAATCTTCGCCACTTGCCCAGAATTCCAAGGACTGCTACCGCTTTTGACAAATATCCTTTTGACGGGAAGCTTTGGGGCCTTCGTTAGTTTGTGCTATAATTCATTCGGGAACGCTGAAAAACAGTTCTCAACTTGGGTTACGTTGTAACTGATATTTTTGGGGAACGTCTTAGTTTTTTTGAAGACAATCATTTTAGCGGCATTTTTACTTTTTTTTAGACGACCTCATTGGTTTTTTTTCTCGATTTTTTGCACAAGATATTTCCATTTCAATCATCGAGGAGGTTTGGATTTCATTTCTTAGTTTTTAAATTTATCAACTTCATTTATTGGTGGTTGGCTGTAGTAAAACTTCTCCAAGACATAACAAACTATCGCACGTCCTTCTTAAACGTTATTTGACCAATGTCTAATCTACAATAATATTCATCCCCTAAACTTTTATATCCACAGTCGGATTGTCTGATATTCTGGCTGCTATCGACCGTGACCGCTGGCCTGCTCGCAGTATGCATCGTCGGAACTCAATACTTCGTGATTGAGGGAACCAATTTTGGTAAGCTCGACGCAACAGTGCGAAAAGAGGAAGGTGTGTTTTGTTTTTGCTTTTTTTTTTTTAATTTTTGTTTTTGTAACAGATCGAAAAGGAAATTTTGCTGGCTGATTGTAAAGACTGCGTTCTTCTTTTTCTTTTATAATTTAACATTTGGTTTTTACTTTGTGTTTTTTTTTATATTTTTTTGTATATTAGATAAAATGCAAAAGCAAAATTGCCTTTTTATATTTTTATCATTTTTATCTTTATCCTATACTATCTTTTACTGTTATATAAAGCGGAATAGTTTGTTTTTTTATTTGTTTGTTTGAACGCGCTAATCTCCGTAACTACAAGTCTGTATTGAATAATTCTTTTTGTGTTGTATAGCGCATTTATCGAGGATGCTTATAGGCTATAAAACATCACGCTACAACCAAAAGGAGCTGAGCAGAGCGTGTGAAACTGCGCGGAAGTAGCTAGTTTATTTTAATTAAGTTCGTATCATTATATTTAAAATCGGAAATCAGTTACTACTTAAATGGTGAATGAGGATTGTACTATAGCACATAGGCGATGATTGATTGAAATGTTCTAGTGGCCTGAAGGTTACGTTGCTCGCAGCCTTACCATGAAGATGCGAGTTTAAACCTAACGAGTGATAGTTTTCCGAGATAGAAGAACTTTCTAAGGTGTATTCAGATATATACACCACTGACAGACGGTGAAGGTAAACCTGGACATGAAGTTTGAAATTGCCAATGCCGTGGTTATAATTGTTCATTTCTTCTACATGTGAGGAGAGGCCTTTTCTCAGCAGTGGGCTCTTATAGGCTGATGATGATGACGATCATGTGAAATAAGGTCGCCTCTTTTCAGGGATATCGCACCGCATCACGGAAACTGCAATGGATTTTTTTATGGCGATCGTTTTGTGCGGTTACTCAGTGACCGTCTACCTTCTTTGGAAGGATCATTATGTGATGTGGAATCGATGGCGCAGGGCCAATGTGAACGTCAGGCTACTCCTCACTCCTGACTCCCATCCCGTACCATTTGTACCACGACCAAGGTATAACGTGGTTTAATGATTTTATCGTCTTATTTAGCAACTTTGTGTGATCAGTACCTTTTAAATATTATATGGAAGGATTCTTAGTTTGATTCTGTGTTTTTTTTTTCTTTTGTAGTTTCTACTTCCTACTTAATATCTACTTGTTGTAATTGTGAAAGTTTAGGTACTCTTTCATATCAAAACTACTGAATGGTTTTATGTTCTAGAAACACATATAGGCTACCTGTCTACTTTTCCGAATCCTGAATGCGATGCCTGATAAAAATTACTATAATACAAACTAGTTTTTGTATTATAGTAATTTTTATTGGAATTCGGAAGTCATAAACCTTAAGCTTCGCTATTCATTATTTAATAAAGTTTTCGAATAAAACAACCAGTAGCTGTCTAAATTCAGTTTCAAATTATTCAGAACTCTTTTAGACAATTTATGAAACATGATTAATATGATGATAAAAGGAACGATTTCTTCAAGCTCTCATAGAACACAATGTTATTTTTTTACATAACGCCCTGTTTACTGCCGGTTATAGGGAAAGCAAACGCCTATGATTTGCAGCCTGTGCTATTTGGCGCTCCGCCAGCCCCAAATTTACCTCTTATAGGTGCATGTTGAGTGGCTTTGTAATTCACCCAATGAAAAGATTAGATAGAGAATTTATGCAAAAGCAGGTGTGTTAGCAAATTGGCAAGAAGCCATTTTAGATTAGCTTGGGAAACACTTCTTGCTACATGGCTTATTCCTATTGGTATTGTATAATCTTGGTTCTTTATTAGCTAACACTACCTATTATATTGGTGCTGTAAGAAGCAGTTTAGCTTATAATTTAAGTGATATTCTAGGTACTGTGATATGAGAAATATCAAATTAAACGGATTATTAAAGAACACTAAGCAAAGTGTTTCACAAATGTGTTTTCAAACTTTTGTCATTGCTATAGTACTATTAATCTTACAAAATAATCGAAGAAATAATAACTATTGTAGTATGTACACAACCACTATAATGGCAAAACATAGGAAAAGTATGTACATAATTAAGTATAATAATAAAGAACCTGTTATTTTGAATGCAGCAATAAGCAAAATTGAAGGTTGTACAGAAAACGGAACGTTTCTGAACGTAATTCGTTCGTCAAATTCAATGGCGGGCTGCGTTTGTTGACTTTTATTTGTTGTTGTAACGGAAAACTTAAATTTTATTAGAAAATATTATTTCAATTAGATATATAATATTTAAAGACTGTGTTTTATTAGTTATAAAAGAAATTTATAAGGTTTAAAAATGAGTTTCAACTTTGGTTCTGCTACTACGACAGCGGGAATCACGTTCGGCACAAATTCACCTTCTACTGGTAAGTTTGGCATATTTACTTACTAATTTCTTGTAAAATAGGTTCTAAAATCTGTTATTGTGCCATAGCTACTCATGTTTGACAATTTTAAGGGACGATAATGCCCAATTTAACTGATTTTTCTCGTCACAATTTCTAACCTATATTTTGCTAATAATTGTGCAATATAACGTGAATTATCTACTGCAATTCACATTCATGTACTTATGATTCATCGCAGTTTATATAGATATTGAAATTATCATATTTCAAAGGTATTATAAACAAAAATAACACAATTTTGAAATTCATACCTTTATCATTAGATTATTTCTGATAAAACTGACATGTTTTTACAGGTTCAGGATTTGCCTTTGGCAGCGGTGATGCTGCTAAACAAGGATTATTTGGAGCTGGAAATGCAGGTACCTAAGTCAAAGACAAAACATCAATAAAGCTGTATTCAGGACTTTTAACATATCAAAATATCATTGTTACAATCAGTTTGTGTGTTAGTGAAGCTGGGTAGACTAACACTAACAGGAATAAATATTCCAAATAGTAAATCGGATCATATAAACATGCAGGCTGTAAATGAAATGCTCCCAAAAAGAGGACAAAAAGATTTGTATTTATAATTTTAAGTAATTGTTTTTCTCTTTGTGTTATTAATGCAACATCAACCTTGAGTACTTGATTACAACTATTATAACACAAAAGAAACATTTAATACCATACTTTTATGAAATTAAAGCTTGTTTTTGCCCGCTGCCCCTGTCGGCGTTTTTCGGGAGAGTTCCCTTTACACCATGTATAGGATAAGTTTTAATGCTTCTTACTACCACTAAAGTAACATGGATACCTTTTATATGCTACTAGCTTCTGTCCGCGACTTCGAACGCGCAATCTCGTTTTCTCCCATTCCCATAGGATTTTCAGGATTTTTTCCCGTCTCATGACATTAACAAACACACCAAAAAAAAATCAGCCTAATCGGTCTAGCTGTTCTCAAGTTATACCGTGACAACGGGAAAACATTGATATATCATACTGAAAATCCCCAAAATTAGTTCATGCAAAAGTAGTCTTTAAAAATCGGGAATAAGGTCTATAAAGGAGTTAATAGAGAGCGGTCGCGGCGTGACTACTTGGGGAGTAAAATGTATGAATGATTAAATTATAAAAGTTATTTTAGGGTCCATGATAAATAGTTCTTTAAATGGAATGGGTGTTAGATATCAACATTTTAATGTATGCTATAATAGATGTGGTCAACACTTCCTATATAATTTTTGGCATTTCGGAGAAAAAATTATAGCTTGTTGGCAAAAAATTACATGAATATACTGAGAAAAGCTCTACTAGTTTCGAACCATAGAGGGGTTCTTCCTCATGAGCAGCATGCGCGGTCATGCAGCTCACTATCATTATAAAAACAAAGTTTTAGTGCATATTTCTTTATCTCCACAGAAAACAAGCCAGCATTTAATTTCGCGAGTCCTTCAGGTGGAGGTTTCTCGTTCGGTGCTGCTAAAACTACAGCGGCTGCACCTTCAGTGTGTAAGTTTATTTTAATTATTTATTATTATTTACTGAGTGGAGCCCACTCAACGTCAAAAGGAGATGGCGGGAAGAATAAGACATTTATGACAAGGATTGGCCGCAACAAGCTTTACATAGAGAGGAGTGGAAGGAGGGTAGGGAGGCCTTTGCCCTGCAGTGGGACGATCATGGCTGAAAATAAATAAATAATAATTACAGTGAAACTTGGTTAAGTGGGACCTGGATAAGTGAGAAACCTCCATAACTGGAACTCATGCTGAGGTCCCAACACTTTGGCACTGAATTACCTCTGTTAGTGGGACGAGGTAAACCTCTATATCTGGGATTTGTTCTTTCGACTTATCATCATAGTTACCTCTTTAACTGAGACAGCGAGTAAATTTTATATGCATAAACCTCTGTAACTGAGATAACATTGTTTGTTTACTCATTCTTATTCTACCCACAAATTCCACACGTAATTCCAAGTGTGGACTTGGACTATTAATCGAACTCTCTGTAAATGAGACAGATATTTATTTATACCTGTATATCTGAGACACTGGGTAAGTGGAATACCTCTTTAAGTGAAACTACATTGCAGGTCCCTTGATGTCTCACTTAACCATGTTTCACTGTATTATTATTGTACACTAGCTTTTTGCCTGTAGATTCGCCTGCATTATGAAAATCTTGCACATTCCTCAGAAATCATACTATGTATTGGTAAAGGCCTAAATAAGACTGCCTTAATGGCCGAGTGGTCGAGCTTGGGTTTTTTCCTGTGTTGGGCAAAGTATTACTGAATTTTTAAAAGAAAATGTCAGTATTAGCACGGAATCTGGAATTGTGCTCCTATTACATGGGACTCATAACATAAATAGTGAAAAGTGAATGTTACATTGTACAGTGTCATAATGTGCACCTCTGCCTACTTCTTTGGGAATAATAAGCGTGTTATTATATATTAGTAAAAAACTTAAAATTTGAGTTTATCATGTTCAAAACAGATGAGAAAGGAGGCTTTGTTTAAAATATGCCGAAGCATTTATTTCAATGAAACTTTACAGAGGAACATGTGAAATGTAAATACATACACAACAGATTATATTTTTTTATCATATCAGAGAAACAGATAATACAGAAATTTAACAGATTAAAGGATAAAGGATATCCTTTAATTTGTTGAAACACCGGCTCCCGGTATAAAACACATTAGATCCGCAACAGACAAGAGGATATTTATTTATTTTTATTTTATTTTTAAAAAACGTTGCCCCACACTAGGATTTTCTCCTGTGTCGTGGGTGCGTTTACAAACATACAAGTTCACATACACATGACACCCAGACCCGGAACAACAATCTGTGGATCACACAAAGAGATGTTCCGAGCGGGAATCGAACCCGCGACACGTTGCGCGGCAGCCAGTTGCCCAGCCACCGCGCCAACCGTGCAGTCAAAAAAATATTGATCTGTCTATTAGTAAAGCTATGTTCCAAACTTTACAGCAAGCAAGAAAAACCATCATTTTCTACTCATTTAAAAATATGGTATCTGATTTTTCAGTTTCAACACCGGTGACTAGCAGTGCGGCTCCAGCGTTTGGTGCTTCTAAGCCTGTAAGCTTTGGGGGCTTCGCATCACCACCTAACCAGACGGTTGGCAGTCCAGGGTTTCCACAGGTACAACATATGATATTTTTCAGTTAATTAATTTATTAAAAGAAACAATAGTAACCAAGTCAGGCCCAACGCAAGTATTGTATAATAACTTACTGGAACTGCCCTCAAAATGTTAGACAGATATTGTAATTCTTAAGATAATAAAGAATTTGAATTTGCCTTTTTTTATGGCATAAGCCGGTAAACGTGCAGACGGATCACCTGATGGTAAGCAATCGGCGCCGCCCATGGACACCTGGAATACCAGAGGCGTTACAAGTGCGTTACCGACCTTTTGGGGATTAGAAGTTTGAGGATCGTTTGGGATTCAGGAATTGGGGAGACTTGTAAAAACCCAAATCTATGTATGTATGAGTTTAGTTAGAATAATCATTTCATTTTAAATCCAATGGTAGCTCAGAAGCTGCATAGCCATATTTTTACTAGAAACTAGGTGCTGTACAATGTTATATAGCGTGTTGCGATGCGACAAATGCGCCAGTGAATATGTTGGTTTAAACAACATAAATATTAAAAGTTAAAATCAATTATTTCAATTAGACCGTCTAGTAGACCTTTTAATGATGTCAAATAAAATATTTAAAAAATATTAGTCTCACAGTCAGTCCTCTAGTGAAGCTAAATTATACGGAGCCGCGGAAAACCTAACGGGTTGTCGTGGGATCTGGACGCGTAGTGCAGGAGAAGGAACGGGGCGATTTTTAGTCAGTAAAAGTCTGACACTCCCTTTCGCCTCAACCGGACCCGGACGAGTGAAGTCATGATGTACCATAACATAACATAACAACACGCTTTTTATCCCCGAAGGGGTAGGCAGAGGTGCACATTATGCTACTGTACAATGTAACACCCACTTTTCACTATTTATGTTATGAGTGCCATGTTATAGGGGATGAGCCTATTGCCATATACCGGGCACGATTCCCGACTCCGTGCTACTACTGAGAATTTTTTAAAAACCCAGTAATATTTATATATATTTTGCCCGACGATGATGAGGGTGGAAACCCTCAAAAAGTGAAGCTATATTACAGTTATTCTTCTTTCTATTCCAGAGTGGAACTACAGCTGCGGCACCTACATTTGGTACACCAACCACACAAGGTGAGTAATCTATATATATAACAGGATTGCGCATACGAAGTCGCGGGCAGACGCTACTTTCTTTATATTATAAAAACTAACTTCTGCCAGCGGGTTCGCCTACATTCTAGTGGGGTAAAAAGTAGGTAGCTTATGTGTTATTTTAGACCATAATCTCACCCTGTTTCCAAATTTCATCCTAATCTCTTCAGCCGAATTATGAAAAAGTAAACTGAAAAAATTATAGACACATCAGAACGAGGATTGAATTTAAATGTCCTGTACCAAAGCTTTTTTAGCTTCAATAAGAATTGTTTGTTTGTGAGTATTAGATTAGTAAGATGAGATATTGATAGCTTCACCTTTTTTAAGAAACATAAAAATATAATAATAATAATATTCTTTATTGTACACCGCATAAACACAAAGAACAACAAAAAAATAAATATAGTGCACAATGGGTGGTCTTATCGCACAAGGCGATCTTTTACAGACAACTTTTGGTTGGACCTGTTATAGAAGTCAAATATGGGTCGTCTAGTGTACAATTTAATGACTTTAAAATTTTCTATTTTGGTTGTATGTGACACAAAATAAATGTTTAATTTTCTTGCCCTGTTATCATTTGACCATATCTAGTTTTGATTCGATTAGATTCACATCTCTTGGTACATTTAGACATAAGATTCCAATTCTTACTTAACACAGATATTAATATTGTTCCAATACCATTTATTCCAGCTACAACCGGTTTTGGCGCATCACCTGGCACTGGTTTTGGTTTCGGCCAATCAGCAACCACACAGCCGTCTACAACGGGTTTCGGTGGGCAAGCAACTACAACCGGTTTTGGCAGTACACCGGCAACCACTGGTTTTGGCAATCCGCCAGCTGCGACAACCACTGGTTTTGGCAACCCGCCAGCTGCGGCAACCACTGGTTTTGGCAATCCGCCAGCTGCGGCTACCACTGGTTTTGGTTTTTCTACACCTGCTTCTGGTTTTTCTGCGCCTCAACCTCAAGCTAGTACTGTAAGTAATAGACATACTACTACTGTAAAAAAATACAATAATGACTGGCTTAAAAGACCCAACTCGAGAATCGAACTTGAAACCTTCGTGAGGCATTCTAAATGAATTGTCGCCAGTCGCCGAGTCGCGGGTCGCAGAATGCTGCTCATGAATATGAGCCTCTAGCATGGCTTGAAACTAGTCGAGTTCCTCGTCAAACAGTTATGTGATTCAGCCGAAAACATAATAATTAATTGAAACCTTTTGTTAGGCACTTACACTTGCGACCTTCAAACTAACGAGGTAATCTTGTCATACCATACATTATGTAAGCAACAAGCAACTATAGATAACCTATGAATATATATCTCGATTTCTCAGAGTCGGAGAATCGTTACCTTGAAACTGGGATATTATCTTGAAATTTTTAAAATATGGTCGTGTAAAAGCGATTTATCATAATACTAGCGACCCGCCCCGGCTTCGCGAAGGTACAATAAGCATGTATTATATATAAAAACATTCATTAAGAATCACTTAAAAAAAACGCATTAAAATCCGTTGCGTACTTAGTTTTAAAAATCTAAGCATACATAGGGACAGACAGACAGCGGATAGCGACTTTGTTTTATACTAGTAGTGATTAATTTTATAAAACTAATGAATGAAGTAGAGTTAAAATGTTCCTTGCTTATGATCCACAGCTAATAGTAATTATTATAACATTAGCAATTCTCTCTGTCCACGGACAAGACTTCATTTTATTTGAGCCCTGGTGTTTAAGTTTTATATTATTTTCCGTCTTGACTGCCTCGTTGGCCGAGTGGTCGCAAGTGCGACTGCCGGCCAAGGCCTATTACATGGGACTCATAACATAAATAGTGAAAAGTGCGTGTTATATTGTACAGTGGCATAATGTGCACCTCTGCCTACCCTACCCTTCGGGGATAAAAGGCGCGGTGTTAGGTTATGTTATTATTTTCTGTTTACCTTCGCTTTCTATTATATTTCATTTTTTGTAGTTGTTAAGTTTATGTGTGCTCTGCGCAGAAATAAATGGCTTTTCTTTCTTTCCTTTTTTTTCTATTTTTTCATAAGAATGTAATATTATTTTATCCATCGACCATGAACTTAATTGATAATTATACTCTCCATCAGGCTGCAACTACAACGTCAGCTGCTCAACCAACCAATTCATTCCTGGGCGGGGCCACGTCAGGTTTCGGCCAATCAGCGTTCGGCGCTAAACCAGGCTCCGCCTTCAGTTTTGGTGGGGGTAACACTGCTGCGCCTGCGTTTGGTACTACGCCTGCTCCCAGTAAGTTATTACAGTTAATTTTGATATTCTTCGGAAACGAAAAATCTTTATTTTATTCTGTATCCTGTGCCTTGGGCTCCGGCTCGACGTGCAGGAGTAGGAACGAAGTGGTTTTTAGTCAGTAAGAGTCTGACACTCCCTCCCGCCTCACCCAGAAGGGAGCAGTCAATCGATGATTTCCCCCTTTAAAAAGAAAAAACTTCCCCGACACAGCCCCACTCGATTTTTTTAAAACGAAAAAAGACCCGTGTGCACCCGCAGAACTCGGAAACAACTTATAAATAAAATGTAGTGGCGACACATGTCAACGGATGACGTCATAAAATCCTACATCGCACATGCAAAGTTTACAATCGAATTAACACGAGTAGAAAATCTCAACGAACATCTGTTGGGCGGAAAGCCCGCCAGGCACGAACACCTCGCCTGCTCGGAGGATCCTCCTTTTCCGATCTTAGGAAACTATACTCTCTGTTCCCTACAATGTTAAATACACAATTTTTTATTTCTTCCAGCAACCACAGCAAGCGCGTTCGGTCAGAAACCGACGCTAGGTTTTGGTGCAAGCAATGCTACGACAGCGCCTACGAGTCAGACTACGACTACACCTGGACAGACCGGGCTTAGTTCTGGAATAAGCTTCGGACAAACTACGGCCACTACTGCGCCGACATTCGGCACTGCGACTCCAAGCTTTCAGGCTGGACAGTTTGGCAGCTTGACTGGTGCACGTGAGTTTTATTATTTACTAGCTACTTCCGCGCTCTGCTCAGCTCCTATTGGTCGTAGAGTGATGTTAGCCTATAGCCAGTTATACGAATTTGTTATAATATTAACTCTTTGTTACTTAATTTACAGAACAATCAACGCCCATAAACTTCAGTACACCAAGTACTCAACCGCAAACGGGGTTAAGTTTTGCTCCAGCCTCAACCGCCCAACCGACACCCTCACTTGGTTTCGCAACTACAACCCAATCCGGCCTTTCTTTCGGAGGGAGCCTATCTACTCCAGCAACTACGACTGCAACATCAGCACCGAGCTTGAAACCACTTTTGGGTCAACCATTACCTGCTGGCCAGTTTCCTAAATCTACTGGGTCATTAAGCTTTGCCCCAGCAACTGTTACGCCCAGTTCTACGGCTACTACATCGGCTGCGCCTGGCCTTGGAGCTTGGTCTACTCCGTTAACGACCACCACTGCAACTGGGCTTGGTTTCGCAACTACAACTACTTCGGCCCCGGCGCTTAATTTTGGTACAACTGCAACTACGTCTACATTGCAGACTGGTTTTGGTTTGACGTCGACCGCAGCGAAAACTGGAATTAGTTTTGGAAAGCCTACTACATCTGTAGCTGCGTCGTCCGCAGGTAAGATATGTCATTGTAATAAGTAGTTGATAGGTAGTCAAATTCAATACTCAAAGTCAAAGCATTTATTTCAATTAAACCGTAATTTGGTACTTTTCAAACGTCAACAAATACAAAATAAATAATAGTCTGTCAGTCAGTCCGTCAGTGAAGCTAGGTGAAACTAGGTGCTCATTCCAAAATGTACTTTTATTGAAATGTCAAAAACGATACTTTTCTGTGAATTTTTTATTGGATCGCATCTTATGATATCTTAAAATTAGCGAGAAAAAATCCAAAAGTAGGTAAATCGTCAAATCAATGGATGGGAGTATGATTATTTTTTAATTATTTATTGCATTGAAAAGTTGAAAAATTTATTTTAAACCTAGGAAACTAGCCAACTGCCTCGTTGGCCGAGTGGTTGCAAGTGCGACTGCCGGGCAAGGGGTCGCCGTTTCCCGTTGTCACGCCATTACTTGAGAACGGCTAGACCGATTTGGCTGATTTTTTTTGTGTTGTGTTTATTATTATCAGGAAAATGTTCTTATGACAGAAAAAAGTCCTGACTGCCTCGTTGGCCGAGTGGTCGCAAGTGCGACTGCCGGGCAAGGGGTCTCGGGTTCGATTCCCGGGTCGGGCATAGTACTACTGGGTTTTTATAAATTCTCAGTAGTAGCACGGAGTCTGGAATTGTGCCCGGTATATGGCAATAAGCTCACCCCCTATTACATGGGACTCATAACATAAATAGTGAAAAGTGGGTGTTACATTGTACAGTGACATAATGTACACATCTGCCTAACCCTTCAAGGATAAAAGGCGTGATGTTATGTAAAATTGTTCAACAAAGAAATAGTTTTTGTTAATAAACACCTTGTCTTCGAAACTTAACATATTCTAAAAATAAATATTTCAAAATAAGATAATTGAAAATCATGTCATGGTGACGGTTTACAGAAAATTTCCTTTCAATACATGTTTTATTTTATAAGAAAATGTTAAAAACAAATTAACTAATTAATTCTTTGTTTAAAAATTAGAATCAGTTAAAAAAAACTTCAACATGATACCAACATTATTCGGTACATGTTATTGTTACATTTTATTTCACTACTTTTGCATGCAAATTGACAATCTAAAAAAATAATAGACGTTTTGCAATTTACATATAATTATCTCTTGCTGAAAAGGAGATGACGGAACAAATTAGACATCTATGACAAGGATTGGCCGCAAAAAGCTTTACATAGAGAGGAGTGGAAGGAGTTGGAGTTGAATTGGACGATAAAGGCAGAAAATTAAATAAATAAATAAATTACCTCTTGTTTTTATGGGATACGACAAAACGTATCATTTAAGTTATTGAGATGACATCGAAAGATTGATTTTAACTGACTATCGAGAGTAGGTCTCTTTACCCATGATTTGAATATTGAGAACGGCCGTTAATGGTTAGCAATCTAAGTCACCCAAGGTGTTACTAATGCGTGGTCGTCCTCTGGGGGAAAGCTTGTATGACTTATATTTGTGTTCAAGATAAATTATATAATAACACTCTGATAAATAAAGCACATAAATAGTAATAATAATTTATGATAAATTGTATTAATATTTTTGTTTCAGCGTCCACAACAGCTCCGTCGGGCATCATAGCTCTAGGCAAAACTACAGCTACCACTACAATGGCGTCCTTGACTACGGCTACCACGTAAGTTTGTTTTTATACTTAGAGCCTGGCTATTTGGTTGAGTGCAAACTTGCAGAGGGTAACAAACAGTCACGGGTTTGATGATTTCAGAGTTAACAAAATGCAGCCTGCAGTTAATGCAGTGGTATAGCACTAAGTTGCTGTATATATTTTGTATAAAGTGACACGGATTTCCGCTCGCATGGTACAATTCTCACCGTTTCGATGTGATATAACATCACGCCTTTTTTTCCCAAAGGGGTAGGCAGAGGCACAATACGGCACTTAATGCCACTGTACAGTCTAACACCCACTATTTACTTTATGCGTCCCATGTAATAGAGGGTGAGCCCATTGCCATATACCGGGCACGATTCCAGACTCCGTGCTACTACTGAAAATAGTTTAAAACCCAGTAATACTATGCCCGACTCGGGAATCACTCACAATCACTCGGCCAACGAGGCAGAATTTTCGAAAACATAATAATTTCACACTCGAATACTGAAAGGCTACTCAACTTTAAGTTGTGCTTAAATATCGTGCCATCTCTGTCGTTTTACAAAGAATTTGTAGAGACAGAACTATATTTAAGAGCGATTTAAATTAAGCGACGTTTGAGTATTTCAGCGTTAGTAACACAAATAGACTTAGTCATTCTTTCTTGATAGATCTTTCAACTGTAACCAATGAAATAGATTGTTAACCTTCTATTTTGTTATGTTGGTGGATTATTAAATTATAGGCGGATTTATTACAATAATGTGCAGGGCACACGACATGTACACTCACTAGATTATGACGGGTAGACAGCAGCGTTAATAACGAGTATCCTACCTTATTTAAAACATTATAGTGAGGGGCCACTACTTACTAATTAGTGATGTTGATACATACTAAACATACATGTAACTTATAATTTGTTTTCAGTACAACAGCCGCGGCGCCTCCACAGATAGTGACATCGATTACCTTTGCGCAGCTCGAGGAGAACATAAACAAGTGGACGTTAGAATTGGAAGACCAAGAGAAGACGTTCATCAACCAAGCTACACAGATTAACGCGTGGGATCGACTGCTTATTGCTAATGGGGAGAAGGTGAGTCTTACTTTGTTACGAATAAAGTTTAATTTGCTCTGGCAAATTACTAACTATACAATTCATGTGTTAGATGAAGTAAATGTTGTGCATTACTTTGTATTTGTTCTTTCATCGGTTGCGAAGTTATTCGAGATTTTGCTGGGGTAACGTTTTTGGTTTTGCTAGATCTTTGAAATGGTTAAGCGGATTCTTATCATATTTTGTACATGACTTCTTAGGAATTAGTTAGTTTAAATTTGTTCTGTAATATAAAATCCAAAATAATACATAGCTTAAAGGTTATTTCATTAAATAGAAAAACACTTCAATTGGTCCCAGCATTCTCAATGAGCGTTCTAAAGACTTACTTTAAACGTTATTTTAAAACTTGTAACTGCCTACAAATGTATGTGAAGTTTCATTAGTATCCTGTAAGTATTTAACAAGTTGATATATTGTGTTCTTCACGGTCACGGTCTTGATGCGCACGGTGTTATTTGGCCACTAGCTAATCATTTTCGACACCATCTGGCCTGGGTAACGCACACTCCTCCGGGTCATTAGTATTGTGAAAAAATGTTTAGAATATTTTATTTAGTTATCCCGAACCACAGGTATGGATGCAGATGTTCATATTTTCGACATAAATTCTATTGAATTTCTATCAAAAACTAAATATAGGGAATGTTCTAGATTGTCGCATTTGAGTCTGGAATTGAGCTCGGTATATGGCAATAGGCTCACCCCCTATTACATCGGACTCATAACATAAATAATGAAAAGTGGGTGTTGCATTGTACAGTGGCATTTAGGTGGCGTAATATGCACCTCTGCCTACCACTTTGGAGATAAAAGGCGTGATGTTATGTTATGATAGTTATAAATATTTCTTTTACAGATAGTAGAATTAAACGATGCCGTACAAACAGTGAAGAACGAGCAACAGAGCTTGGAACATGAGCTCGACTTTGTACTGGCACAACAGAAGGAGCTAGAAGATCTACTCGCGCCCATGGAGAAACAACTGTCGGAAGAAAATGTTGATAGGCTCCGAGACCCAGAGAGGGAACATATGTGAGTTATTTTTGCATTAAACCTTGCACTAATAAGGACCGACTTTTCCAACGCAGATAAATTTTAACTGAGGAATAACTTTGAATATTTTTGTCAATACTTCCATACTATAAACTGTCAATTATATGCTTCAGTTAGTATTCACGAAATGGTGATTGAAAAGTCGGCCCTAAGATAGTTGAAGGAATATTATATAAGGTCTGGGTTCCACTAAAGCGAAGACTTGACGAGCGAAACAGAGATTATTTATAAGCCAATACATTTTTTTTATTCACACAACCCCTCTCTACTAAGTTTCAATGGAGATTACCGAGTGGTTGTTTAATACACATAGAAAGAAAGGAAATACTCTCAAGTCCTCTCATTTCTAGCTGGTTTCAAAACTTATCAATCTGTACTTTTACTCTAGATTTTTGATATTCCTAGGCTACGTGCCTAATTCGATTACCCGAATCAAACTTAACGTTTCATATTTGACAGTTACCTTAGGCTCTAAGTCTAGACATTTAAGCAACAATCCAACTGCAAATTGCAGTTCGGATGCAGTTTGAATACAGTCGTGTCACGACTGCAATTGAACTGCAAACCAAACGTGCAGTCCGATTGTAGTTCTATTGCAGTCGTGATCAAACGGTTGCAAACTAAACGTGCAGTTCGTTTGCAATTCTGTTGCAGTCGTGTTAACTGCGTTCAAATTGATTGGAATTGCAATTTGTAATTGGATTGCAGTTAAAATGCATTGTCTGTTTAGAGCCTTACAATTTACCAATAAGACAATTTTATCGTTTTACATTTAATAATCGTCTATTGTTACATCACCAGGTATTCACTAGCAGAAAACTTAGACACACAACTAAGACAGATGTCAGAAGACTTGAAGGAGGTCATTGAACATCTCAACGAGACCAATAGGAGTCAAGACAGTAATGATCCGGTAAGTTATATACCTACTGTATGAATTGGGTAGTGGCTTAATCAAAAATAAATTATTTAGACAGTTCAATATAATAAAATATTAAAAAATAATCACACTGTCATTAAACTGTCAAACACCAAGCGGTCACCGGTGACCGCAACCTATTGTTCTATAATTGTGTCTATAATGACGGTACTCGACGAGTTAATTGATTTTACGACCAACTTAATTTTAGTATTTTTCCAACAAATTCTTAAGAAATAAGTATGCTGTTAGACGCTAAAAAAACGTGACGTCACAATACACAATCTCGTACAAAATTCATAGAAAACTGTCGTTTTTGACAGTTCGAAAAAAGTGTTGAATTTGACTAGTTGGTAATTACCCAATTCTCTCACTCTCTCATCCCCATCAGCTGAAACGCTTACTCCTGAACAAAAGTATATATAGGTATATTTGGAAATGGGATTCACATAGGTCTTACTGGTGGGGTTTCTTTGGTCAAGAAAAGTATTGAGTACTAGCTGACCCGGCGAACTTCGTACTGCCTAAAATTTTTTTTACGCCTTTTAACCCTTTCCTGGACTTCCACGAACGTTTCAAGACCAAAATTAACCAAGTCGGTTCAGCCGTCCTGGAGTTTTAACGAGACTAACGAACACAAATTCATTTTTATTGATGTAGATTATCAGATTTATGACATAACACTGACTCCATAATTATTATATGGGACCGGCGAAAAGTGGGTGTCAACTTTGAGGGGGGAAATCATCCAATCGCCCGCCCGAATGAGACACGGAGTGTCAGACCCTTACTGACTATTAACCATTCCATTCCTACGCCGGCGCTTCGAGCCGAGCCCCGGCAGTGGGTGTTACCTACATTGAAGATTTACACCTCTAACTTTAGGATCAATTTTTTACTCTAATCTTTTCTCATAATTCATTCACTTTTTTACAGATCGTCCAAATCGGCCGCATCCTCAACGCTCACATGTCATCAATGCAATGGATAGACAACTCCATAGCGCAAATATCCACAAAACTGGACCAATTGAAAGCCACACACGATACTCTACGGCGAGACAACGAGAGATCTTACCAACTTACTTACAATTGATTAACAACTCTATCTACATGTAATATAGAATTAAATTTTGTTAATTCCGTCAACGCTGGAAGGAGGCGTAATTACGTCTGACAGATTTTTTTCCATTTAAAAAAAAGAAGTACTTAGATAAAGCAAGTTAAGGTTTAGTCATCGCTACGTCAGGGTTTTTCATTCAGAGAAAAAAAAAGTATGTGGCAAATGTTGTTAATTAATTTACTAGATAGACATTGAAAAAATAACTCTCCCTATAGCAACTTAGCAAGCATAAACAGGGCACAGTAAAGCAGTATCGTTGGTACAGTTTATAGATGAGTATAGATACAATTAAAATTAATAAAAAAATAATAAAACAATAGACTTGAATACTTCTTTGTATTGACATAAAAATTGTAATAATTATTTCCTTCTAAAAAAAACATTGTATTTTCTAGTATTTCTTTATTCATTTCTTTGTTAGACTTTTTTAAATTTAATACCAGTACAAGCAAATTGTTTGAAATTGATTATTGAATTCTTTTTATTGATGTAAAAAGTTCTACAGTGAAATAAAAGTGATTATTATTTCTTAATATTTATTACGTCTTTTATTTGATGTAAAACCTCAAAGCAGCGTTGGACCAAGGTGTAGACACCTATTTGGCGCAATGTTCGTAATTGGCACCGTGTCCGTTACCCAGGCCAGATGTTGTCGGAAACGGTCATTGAATCTTATAGATAATTGGTTACGAAAAAGCGAAAGTTAAAGTAAGTCTTTAGAGCTCTTATTGAGAGTGCTGGGACCAATAAATCTAATCTAAAAATAATGCAGTGTTTTTCTATTTAATGAAATAACCTTTAAGCTATGTATTATTTTGGGTTTTTTTTATTGCAGTACAAATTTAAACATTCCTAAAAAGCCATGTACAAAATATGATAAGAATCCGCTTAACCATTTCAAAGATCTAGCAAAACCAAAAACGTTACCCCAGCAAAATTTCGAATAACTTCGCAACCGATGAAAGAACAAATACAAAACAAGGCACAACATTTACTTCACCTAGACAACTGATTGTATAGCTAGTAATTATATAAATATTAGAAAGAAAAAGGTCTGGCTGGGGAAACGTTACCCCAGCAGGAAATGTTTCGGTGAAATAATTAAAACACTATAAGCGCAACAAATTTAAAAATGTGCGCAACAATTACAGAAGCCGCACCTGGCCTGGGTAACGCACACACCGTAGTCTGGTTCAAAAAATATGGCGGCGCTGTTCTCGACATGACGCTTCGTCATAATGACTTTTGTGCCTAGATGTCATCCTAGTTCCAAAACCAATAATAGACGGTGCTGTGGCTGCGCCGTCATATATATTTTTTCATCTTTACCCTTTATAGGCCCCCAAACAAATTATACGGGGCCCCGCCACGGCACGCTATGCGGTGTAGAGTTATGTTCACATTCATTCATACATCGTCACGCCACTCATTGTGGTAGGCAGAAACAATCAAATGCTAAATAACACGATACTGGCATACACCTTTCGCTTGATCGATACAATAATTTAGCATTAGCAATACACTTGTTTTTGATATCTGCGAAAGTGAAAAAACTGAATAAAAAACTTACTTAGAACAGTAATATCTATAATTCCATTAATCAATACACAATTCCACTTATAAAACATTGTAGTTTTATATTCTCATCTGTCTGCAAACATAGAATCACTAATTTCCTATGCACTATACTGCAAACTGTGCTGTTGGTAGATATTTGTTCTGCGCTAAGAAACATTGATAGCTTCTTAGCATCGAGACGACAGTAGCATACTCGAGACATATCTTCATTTATTTGAGTCTCTGTTTCTGAATCTGAATGTTCGATGGGCCCTGAAATTAAAAAGAGTTATCAATCAATACAATAGCAATTATTAGATAGTAGAGTACACTGCTAGACTATTGGTCCTCCTCTACGAAAGAGGGATTTGTCATGATTGCCTAAATTAGCAAACAAATTGGAGATTCACAAAGGATCAAGTATATCCGCTGCCGCCCTATCTTCTCAGGTCCCTTAATGATCTTAAAAACAGGAAGAATAAGGTTGGCCACAAACGTATTTTAGTGCGCCATCACCTCACGGGGAATCTTTCACTCAATAATAGTCTTTCTTTACAGGAATCAAAAGTCTAAAATCATTTACTTACCTCCAAAAGCTTCCACCCTCAGCCCTTTAAACCGCGTGGAGACTTTAGCCATATCAGTCTTAATTTGTAATGTTAGTCTTCCTTCAGCAGACGCTCTGATGACTACCTCTGATGCCATAGTTTTCATTCTATCTATGGTCGTCCGGAGTTGCTTTAGAGGCGGTAATTCTATTGATATCTGAGAACAAACTCAAAATTAGGTAAAGAAAGAATGAATTTCGAAAATCTAAGTGATGCGAGGAGACAATGGTACGGTTGTCTCGAACTCAAGTCCCAGCTCATGACGTGTCGTAGTTTCCGAAAACTCATTCAATCTAATGGCTAGTTTCGTCTTGTGCAAAGGGCGGCAAGCAAGAAGACTGATTAGCAAGAAGTATTGATGTCGATTGTCAAGTTGGGGTGATTAATATTAGAAAATAGAGTTAAAAGTATGCACAGAAAATGTGGTCGGAGTATGGTACTTGATGTGATATATAACCGTATAACGGGTGAAAGGTTACTAATTATAGTATTATATGAACCTACCACTTCAGGTGTGTGTTACCCAGGCCAGATGTCGAAAATGGTCATTTGATTCTTATAGATAATTAATTTTGCGGCTTTTGTAATTGTTGCGCACATTTTTAAATTTGTTGCGCTTATAGTTTTTTTAATTATTTCCTAAAGAATTTTCCTACTGGGGTAACGTTACCCCAGCCAGACCTTTTTCTTTCTAATGGGAATATTTAAATAATTACTAGCTATAAAATTTGTTGTTTAGATGAAGTAAATGTTGTGCCTTATTTTGTATTGTCTTTCGTCAGTTGCGAAGTTATTCGAGATTTTGCTGGGGTAACGTTTTAGGTTTTGAAATGGTTAAGGGTATCTTATCATATTTTGTACATGGCTTCTATGGAATTAGTTTAAATGACAATGACCAAATTTGTATGGAGCGTGGTGCCTTTTAATTTTTTCGCGGCAGTTGATCGGATGTAGAAAAACTGATGCAGAATAACATTACAAACAAAAAAATATACGGGGTCTTATATCAAAAACACAGTCCGAACCGAGTTAAATCAGTTCAAAGATGTGAAAATAGTGCTATATTATTCGTGTTATTTGTTGATGGTGACAGTACACAACGCATTTAACTTCATTTACTTGTCAGAAATATTTTGTAATAAATGATTATAAACGATTTCAAGGAATGTAATAAAGCTTATTGTAGACTATTTTATTATTATTTTTTTTGTTTTTTTTTTGTGTTTGGCCTTATGGCCACGGAACCAGAACAGAGTGAACCGTTAACTGTCTACTGCTCAAGTAAAAAAAAAAAACATTTCGCTTGATTGGCTAGCGTGTTCACTTTATATGTATACGGTTTATGGCCTATGACAGATTTTCATGATCAATTTCCTCTCAGTCGAAAACCCGCAAAATACCTTACTGAGCCCTATCATGAAATGCTATGTTTGTCAGCTGCGGCGTCGGTAGCGGATTAAGTAGCGCTGATCACTTTAAAAGTAGACGGTTTCCTTTCTTCAAAAGATTATGCTAACTATAAGTAGATGAGTCTCCCACCAGGAGTCAATGGCAAAAAAAATAAATACTTTATTAGATGTTTGGACGGCTACCACTACTCAACCCACCACTGGTTCCACAGCTGACGCTCATGAAGCTTCATGACACAACTACTAGAAGCATTCCCACAAGTTATCGACTGAGAGAAAATAGGTAATAAAAATTAGTGCCCGGTAATATGAATATATTGTTGTGTGATATGGTTTTCCTGTGCCTGGAATACAGTGGCGCGCAATTTGAAGTTAGGAATTGTGACAAAAATATGAATAATTTGAATAAAAAACCGAAGTAAAATGTTTAACTCCGGTCCTTTCAACGCTCATAACTCAGTCCAGACTGAGATTTCCATATATGAGCCCATAGACAATTTCGTTTGTAATGTCATTCTAGATAATATTTTCCATAAATCATCGACTGCCGCCAGAAAAAAGAAAGGCACCAATTTTAATCAATGCCCTTTGTTCTGTAATAAAAAAACAAAATAATACATAGCTTAAAGCTACAAATTTACAAAGCTTAAATTTAAAAATGTGCGCCACAATTACAGAAGCCGCGAAACTAATCTATAAGATTCAAATGACCATTTTCGACAACATCTGGCCTGGGTAATGGACACCCACCTCAGGCTATAAAGAGTGAGGCAGTGGCCGAGTGGTCGCAAGTGCGGCTGCCGGGCAAGGGGTCTCGGTTTTCTCGGGTTGGGCAAAATATTACTGGGTTTTTAAAAAAAGTCTCAGTAATAGCACGAAATCTTGAATTGTGCTCGGTATATGGCAATAGGCCCTTGTTATATAGGATTTATAACATAAATAGTCAAATGTGGGTGTTACATTGTACAGTGGCATTTAAGAGCCGTAATGTGCACCTCTGCCTACAATAAAAGGCATGATGTCATGTTACGTTATGTCCATATAGAGTTTTATAACACTTACATCAGGATCCGGTACCCTTGGCTCATGGTAGTCGCTCCATAGCTTTCTAGGGACCACTGTCACAGGTATATCATGAGTTACTTGGCGAGTCTGTTGTGATACAGTGCAAGGCTGGAATTGGAAAAAAATGCCTATACAATCCAATGTTTTACAGTGATTGAATATAATTGGGTAAGTATCATGCTACAATTGAAAAATATAAAATGCAATGCTAGAGTCTGGGTCCTGAAGGGTATAATCTGAATGTCTTCAAGCCCTGAGTGAAAAGGTTGCTTATGGGCAAACATGTTCCATCGTAGATCACATCATCGCTTACCACCAGGCAACGTAGTGGCCAAATGTTGGCCCAAAAAATAATAAAAAAAAATGTTCATACTCTGTTTGAATATGCTTGTTTCACTTGTTTCACAACTAAGTCGGGTAAGTACCACCTCACAGAATACCAGCATGAAGCAGTGATATAATGTTACATTTGCAGGGAGTCCTCCCCTGAGACAACATTGAAACTCAACAATTGCACTTCAAATAATGGTAAAATGGGGTGAATAGGGTTTGAGTGGCAAAAAGGGACAGAAGAGGGGTGAATCGATAGTATGAAGAATTTCCTTATATCTACTCACCCCATTTTACGGTATTACCGTAAAGATATAATTACCGCTGAGATATAATTTTTTGCATATACAAAAAATTATGTAAAAAAGGATATAGGCT